GCAACAGAGCACGACGATTCCCGATCTGGAAGAAAAAGGGCAGTCCTGCAGACTGCACGAGCTACCGTCCAATTCGCCTGCTCTCGCACAGCATGAAATCTTTGAGCGAATTGTAGATCGCCGTATTCGTGACATCGTCCAGCTGACCACCAACCAGTGTGGTTTTGTGCTGGCTGCAGCACCATCGATGCCATACACGCCGCTCGCCTTCTGCTAGAAAAACATCGCGAAAAACAAAAGCCGGTGCATTTTGCCTTCCTAGACTTGGAGAAGGCTTTCGATCGCGTTCCACGTGAAGTATATGGTATGCCTTACGACAGCATGGCGTCCCGAAGAGCTTATTGAGTGGGTGCGCATCCTTTACTCGAGTCCAAAGAGCCGAGTGCAAACGGTCAGCAGGCGTTTCGATGGAATTTTCCCCATCTCTGTCGGGGTACATCAAGGCTCTGCGTTATCCCCACTCCTTTTGTTGTCGTCATGGATGCCATCTCACGAGATCTTCAGAAACCGGCTCCATGGACGCTTCTCTATGCTGATGACGTGATGCTCGCCTGCGAAGACAAAAACGTACTCGAGCAACAAGTGCAAGCTTGGTCCGATCGCCTAGCGATGTTCGGACTCAGGTTGAACGTTAAAAGACTGAGTACTTGACAACCGACACGAGCGAGTGCGGTTCTATCAAAATAAATGGTACTAGAGCTGACACGTACAACGACATTCAAGTATCTTGGATCAGCAATTGCGTCTGATGGCAGTATGAGTACTGAAGGTGAACTCGCGCGTGAGTGCGGCTTGGTCCAAGTGGCGTTCTATGACGGGAGTTCTCTGCGACAAGAAAATCCCAGAACGCCTCAAATCGAAGATCTATAGGACCGTCATAAGACCAGTGGCATTGTACGGCGCTGAGTGCTGGCCAGCGACTAAAGAACTGAAGCCTCGCCTCGGTGTAATGGAGACGAAGATGCTGCGCTGGACGGCTGGTGTCACGCGATTAGATCGCATTCGGAACGATGTCATACGAGAACGCTTTGGTGTAGCTCCCATTGCTGATAAAATGCGCGAAGCTCGGCTTCGATGGTATGGTCACGTTCTTCGCGGAAATGATGACAGTGTTCGTAAGATCGGCCTCAACTTGACGTGCCCGGAAAGCGGCCTAAGGGGCGCCCGAAACAGCGCTGGCTCGATACGTTGCACGCAGACTTGAAGTTGGTTAACATCCACCCCGACCAAGCATTTAATCGGGAAAAGTGGCGTCACACATCAGAAAAGCGGACCCCGCCAACAAGCGGGACAAACGCTGAAGAATAAGAAGAAGAAGAAAAGAAAGAACTCGATAACTCTGTGCTCATGATGTCTGACCATCTATTATACAAATCGCTCCCTTCCAACCCGTTCTGATGAATGACACGCTTGCGGTTGATCTGATGATGTCCAAGAAGGCTGCGAATCTGCCTGTTTTGAACTTTCTACCAAGATGTTGTTCCTCCACTAAGTTCTCGTAGCATGTACATCATTTCAGAGAAGATTTTCGCTGCCCTTTCCCTACGATATTTCTTGCAGGACGACCGCCCCAGCGCCAGTGTGTCCGTTGGAATGAACCATTTTGATCTCCGAAATCATCATCGGAGAAAAAACGATTCCCTGTCAAGGAATTCCTCGACCGTTAATCACCTTGGAGGCGCAGTGTGGCTTGGGGCGGGGGGCAGTCGCCGCGCGCGGCTCAGCGATGTAGGGGTAAATCCGAGCATTCCAGTTCTCACGGAAACATTCGTACGCTTCTGCACGCATGCTAAGTTTGAACTGCCCTTTGCGCCGCCACACCCGCATTGCTACATTCCTCCCGCATTTACACAAATTTCCCTGTTCCCGGCACGCCGCGCGCGGCGGCTGTCCCCCGCCCCCCAGCTCAAACATGCGTCCAACGTCCAAGGGTGCAGGCGTCCGCCTAGTGCGCAAGCGGCCAGGCGGACGTTTCCACTGCGAAGCGGGTGCTGCAGGAATTTTGGACGGCTGCCTCCGGGTGGTCGCGTGTAAAGGTGTTACAATACCCAGGCTTAGTCCCGATCAAAGGAGGTGTACACGTCCGCCGATCCGATTGCACGCTCCAGTGCTCAATAGTGCGCCCCAGTGCAACGTAGTTGTCGGTGAATTTAGGAAATCATTGCTATAAATCGTTATTATGGCCCCCGCAAGTCATTGTATAGGCCACATCGCATTCAAACGCCACTACGAATGTACAAATGGAAGTAGAATGCGTGCCGCATCCCAAAAAGGGATTGATCAACGGCAAATGCTTTATCCTTTTATCCTTATATGTCGATCAACTATGTAGCAAGCTTGCCGTCATCTAAGCATTTTTATCAAGATGCGGGAGAACTATAAGTATGAACGATGACTTTGGATCAACCAGTCTCTTCGTGAGCCATAGTCAGTTCCATTTAGGATCGTAGTTGCATGAAGATACGATTTGACCTTTCACAAAAGACCCTAAAGGCCAGGTGATGCAGGACCAGTTTTCTTTTCCTTTCTGGTACCAATTACTCGATTACGAAGTTACGATGAGCACACGGCGCAAAGTCTCGCCTTGATTTGAATCAAGTCAAGACACTGAGCTGTGCGATTGGTAACCAGCTGTTTTTACGTTTACCTCAAACTACCTCGCTCTCATGAGTGACCAGTACTCACTTTATAGACCTTGTTTTAGAAACCATGAAATAAGTGTCCACACGTCATCCTACCTACGCGAAACACAAGCCCAAAATTTGGTTTTTTTTTGTTTTAATAACATATATGCTTCTCTGTTCAAGCACATTTGAATTTCCAGGGTTTAGCGTACTCCGCTGACTTTGCAGCAATTGGGATTCTTTGTGTGCGTTGGGCGCCGCTTTCGCAAATGGGTCTCTTCATTAGTGCTCTGACAAGCTTCACCTCCGTCTCTGTTATCGTTACAGATCCCTTGACCGCTTGGGTAAGTCTTGATTGCTTTGAATTTAAAAGGATTCTCTTTTTGAAATAAGGGGTTACACTCAATTTTTTTTGCACTAACCAAAATGTTTTCTACTACTTACCATACTTCACCTACACTGCGTCGCTTTGGTCAAAAGTCAGATCTATTTGCCCTTCCCCAGCTTTTGGACTATTCTCTAAGGCTGATGTCAGAATGCAGCGATTCGCTAGCGAAAAAGCGTTGCGCCAGCGAATCACTCGCAGCCCTATGTTCAAAAGAACACTTTCTCTCCACGTCCAAACAATGTTGAATCGCTGGTACATAGTTCGATCCGCTGGTTCATCGCTCGATTCGCTGGTGCAGCGCTCGTTCGCAGGATTCCCAAAGTCTGGCATTGGCCTAAGAATATTCTGTTAAGCATAAGATCGATTTATTAGCTGATTCAAGGATAATTGACGTCTAAGAAGCAGGGTCAGCCGGTCATTCGATATTTGGGCTTAATAGCCATGTAACTCTGTCAACAAAGCAGCGCTACGCGACTTGATTGCTCTTCAGTGGAGGCGATCTTTAATACACTGCGTTTCATAATTATAGGTCCACCCTAAATTTTTGCTACCCCAAAGTTGCTGTGCATTTTTTGGAAATGCTGCTATCACCGTTAGATTCCTCATCACGGAAAACCTTCATAGTGTTTTTCTGACAAATTCCCCCCTCAAGTAACCCAATTAACTTTTTTAGAACGAAATTTTCACCGTTTCATGAATATCGGGCCACTCATAAAAAGTTTCCATTTCTCACGATCCGTGAAGGGAATCAGGGAAGCGGGGAAATATGTGGGCTCAGTCGACATCGAGTTTACCATACCTCGTGTTATTCGCCTCTCTTCCCAGTAACAAGCTCAAGCTAGAGCACTTACTGAAGTGGGATAGCTGAGGAGCAGAATTTCCTCCCATGTCGGCCGGCTCATACTGCATAAGCGACTATGTGCAAAATCCTGGTCAGTGCGGAGAGAAGAGTCGCTTAGGTAAATAAAGACTGCGTTTCCTTCAAAATTTAGGAGGAATTGGGTGTCTTCTCTCGAATTATACAAGGAGTCCGAAACAAAAATCGGCTCCGTTGAGCATAACCACCGTGTGGTGAGTAAGCCGGCAGAGCAATAACATCTCCAACGGATAGATGAAGAGCGTTCCAAGATTTTTTGAGCGCTACAAGATCGCAAGTCTCCATTTCTCCGTGGAAAAGGGCTCAACTTAATGAGCGATGGTGTGACTGTTAAACCCTTCCGCGACTGACTCACCCCTGTTCGTTCTAATTACCACAATACAGGATCGATCGCGTGAAAAGTTTAGCTAGATGGTTTCAATGTAACGTAATTTCGGCGGTGAATCCCTTATGGTTTGAGGCACCTTTGAACGACTGAGTAGCTAGAGCTCGCTTTTGTTTCCGTTCACAAAGATTCCACAGGGTATCGTGAAGTTCTTTCGAAGCGAGTCTTACCATTTTTTCAACAAGGATCCCCTCTATCCTTGATTTTCACACACGATAACGCGGCTGTCCATGCCGGTCCCTCCGCGCCAGATGGAATTGCAGGAAAAAATGTGGCAGTTATCTGGTGGCCACCATGTTATCTGAATTAGATTCCAATAGAGAATCATTGGGCCTTAATTGTTATAAAGTTCCACAGCAAAGTAAAGCAAAATGGAACAGCCGAAAAGCTGAAAAGGTCGATCATCGGCGCCCAGACGAATTTCGATCCTACTGTAATAGCTAATTTGGCTACCAGCATTTCAAAACGTATTATTGTGTTCCTTATGATTATTGGGGGGTCATCCCATTATTGAAATTCGTGACGTTTTTTTAGTAAAATCTCTCGACAAGTGATGTGTAGTCATATTTGCGAAACGGTGAAAATACGTTCTAAGGAAGATATTTTAATAATTCTGAATCGAGATTTCTCCAGAAATCAAGTATCAAGGTTTTTCGTTATGGGGAAACTATTGGTAATAGCGGCATTTTCCAAAAATGCACAGCAACTTTGGAATAGCAAAAAATTAGGGTGGACCTATATTTATGAAACGCAGTGTAGCCTACCCGCATCGCCAAAAATAAATAGCATGGTCCAGGTCAACTTAGTGTGTTATTTTGTTTGGAAATCAGGCAAGAAGTGCGATGAGGAACATGAGTGGGAATAGAATGGTACAAGCAATCGCATTCACTTTTGCCTTGCGCACTTGAGACGCAAACGCTCCTGGGATCTCTCTTCCTTCAAGAAGGAGTTCCTCTTGCCACGTAATCCCGACCCGTGACTTGAACGGGAAGTTGCGTGGCTGACTGAAGTTGTCGAAAATGTCAGAGGTATTTTTGAATGAATTTTGAAAAACATCGAGCAAGCGGAGCGAATGCTGGCTGATTTCGACTGCGCCTGTGGTAAGGTTGGTCAGCTGAACCTAACGAAGACGATGTTTATGAGAAACGGATTGGTTCCTGATGCCCCATTCACGCTCAACGGAACGAACATCACCGAATGCTCCAGCTACGTGTACCTAGGTCGGGAAATCAATATGATGAACGATCTAGCTCCAGAGCTGAGCAGGAGGAAACGAGCGGCTTGGGGAGCGTATAAGAACATCGAGGGAGTAGTGAAGAAGACGAAGAACATCCGGCTCCGTGCCCACCTCTTCGATTCCGCTGTCCTTCCTGCCCTAACCTACGCCTCAGAGACTTGGACTCTGCGCAGGCAGGACGAGCATGCGGTCAGCGTTATCCAACGCGCTGTCGAGAGGACGATGCTAGGAGTAACCCTATACACGCAAGTGCAGAGGGGAATCCGGAGTCCGAACTACGCCAACGATCGAAGATCAGGGACGCTGCCGTTTTCGCCAAGGAATCGAAGATAAGGTGGGCCGGACACGTCATGCGATTTTGCGATGACCGTTGGACCAGAGCGCCCTGGCACGCGACAGTCGAAGAGCACACGTTGCACGACCGCTCGAGCAATTCGATGATCAACGGGACGAGAGGTGATACAGGTGATTTTCGAATGCGTCCGGTGAGAGACAAGTACATAATAACATGTTGATAAAAAAACCATCATGCGCTTGGTTCTTATAGAGTACCATCTCGACAACATTCCACTCGAAACACACGTCTAGATCTCCAATCTGCGCGACGTATTCGCTACTACTACGTGCCGAGAGCAGAACAAGACTTTTTGTCTTCAATTCAGTGCGGCTCTTTGATAGACCAACCGCATTGTTCACTTTGCACACTTTTTTTTCTTAGCACCACTTCTTTGCCTATCAGATCAGTGTATAATCATCTGATGCGCAATTACTCTCTCCCATAAGATGACCGAAAGCGCTAGTAATCAGTTGTCCACATAAGGCCTTTTTTGTTTTTTTTTTTTTGTTTTTTTTTTTTTTTTTTTTTTTTGTTTTTGGGGTTGTGAGCGTGATTCGAACGCTGGACGTCACCATTATTATCTTTATTACATTATCGTCTAAATTTATCTGTTCATTTTAGCTATGCGATTCGACGCTTGGATGGCGGTCATCCTTTTATCTCCATGCAGCTTTTGGGTTTGTCGTCTTCACGCTGTGGGCCATATCTATGTTGACGATCCACATTTACATCCGAATGTTAGCGAAAAGGAGTTGGCTAAGATTCAAAAGGAGAAAACACAGGCCCACATCGATCGAGACAGTTTCGTTCCATATAGAGTAAGTCATTGGTTTCGCACGTCTACACCATTACCTGCTCATCTGTACACTTGTAATTCCTCCATCACACAGTGCTTTCGCTACGCGTGTTCCATGTTCCTCTCTAAGTATATTACGATTTTAACCATTTTTTCCATATTTTTGCTTTTCTGATCCCCAAACCTATTTCTTACACAAGTTCTCATTTCCTGAGTTCTCTAAAATGTGCGGATTTGTCTCCAGCAAATCATACTAACGAAGTCCGTCTGTATTATGGTTAACAGCATTGTGAACTGGTGAGCATAACCATGCTCTACGTATACGCTCCAACATATTTCAACTCTGCTTTAGGATTCGACGTTTCCTCCACAGGTACGTAATAATTTAATAAACGTTTATCCATTAATTTATATGGAAAATTGCATCGAATGTGAAGCTGAGGGTAAAAAGAAACATACACAACATCAGCAGTGCCTACTCCTTTTCGCTGCTTACAAATCGTTAGGCGGAAAACGAACACCTCAATGAGCATTCACACGACCACAGGTCACTACAATCAGTTCTAAAAGACACTACTCCAATAAAATGTTACTTCCGAAAATGAGAACAGTGCAACCATAATAGGTGAATCTTCGTAAATGCGAAAGGTTCTCCTTAATGAAGAAACCAACGTCTCATATGTAATGTGATGAGTGATAGAGACTTTCAGGAATACTGTATTTGGATGAGCGAAGAGTTTCAAGTGTAAAATATAGGGGCCAAAAAGACACTTCGCTAGTGACGCATATGAAATCGCATAGCTTGCCATGGTCAATAGAAGTCTTCAAGCAATTATCCGTGGAATGCCCCTGCTTACGCAGATGCAAGATAGATATGATAGTAGGTGCGAATAATAAGATCGAAGAGTAGGGTTCACAAAGTTATCATTTCCACAGTAGTGCCATTTGGTAAGTGGAGCACAAGCTCCAAAACTTGAAATTACGGCTGATGAAGAAAAGCAGAAGCTACATGCTTATTGGCTTTATTGCAAATGGAGCAATACTTTGATCTGATCTCTGAACTGTAGGGACTTTTTTCTTGTTAGATTGAATTTCCGATGAAGAAGACTTGAGAAAGCAGCTATTATTTTGTAGTAGTTCCTCAAATTTATTGCCCGACGAAAAATTCTTTCCTCCATTTGTATCCAACAGGGTAATGATCGGAACACTGGATTTATGGCCATAGGCTTCCTTGTTCTGACTATTTCTATGGAGCAATTTGTTGATATTCCCTTTCGTTAACAAAGGGGTAGGTTGCGGAGGCATCTCTCTCACAACAAGGGGATGTATGCCGGGTCATTTCGGTCAAACTGTAACTCATCATGGTGACGCAGCTCCTTCACCGCTTGCTCCTATCTCATCGCGCCCGTTTTCTCAGCAAGCTCCTCAGAATGAGCACTGTATAAGGATGCAGGCATCCAGGAGTGCCCATTGCAACTCGTTTAATGACTTGATCTCCTTCCCTTCGTTCTCCTACCATTTTCCATCAGTCATTTGTGTCACGACACATTTCCCGTGAGCCACCTTGCAATTCTTTCCAACGGGCGTCTTAGCTGTACAGAATTCTTCTGGTCACCATCCAATGCTGTGCTCCTTTCTATTGCCGCGTCACACTGGGAATTTCTACTGTTGGTTAGACTGCTGAAGACGCTCGCGCAGCTCAGTTTGCTTGGCACTAGCTCAATAGCAATAGTATAGCGCCTTACCCATTGTTTCAGTATGTTGGTGTGCAACTCGTTCAAACGTTGATACACTTTTTTGCTTTCTTGTTTTTAGGTCTACTCGTCTCCATTGCAGCATTCAGTCACCTTGTTGTGAAACTGGCAGGAGGAGTAGTCAGTGATAGCATTACGTACGTTTCATACCCATTTCTTTCCAGATCTTCGCGGTTTTCTGCCATTTCTGTCATTGAAAAAAGTGATAGACGTAAGAGATTTGTGCACAGTTTGCGCAATATGACTAGCTGTTTAGCTAATATTGAAGCGAATTCGATTTTAAGGTCCGAAGCAGAAGAAAGGGGAGTTTATCTTTAGTTCGAAGAGGCAAGGCCTTCTAGAGATGCGTGGCGATGCGCTTTTTGCAGAGAAGGGTATGCCACAGTGTGTTAGCAGGGCCATACGCACTCCGCTTGCGCGCTGCTACTCGCCCGCCGACTCTGCGGCTTCATTAGGGACGTGAAGCAGTGCGTCTGATTGGGGCCGTAGAGCAGAACGCTCGCACTTAACGCTCAACGATAATTGAGTGTCTTTGAGCAAAAGAAATTGCGTGAGGCCACTCAAGCTTTTGGCAACATTTGTTTTTTGTTACTATAAAACCTTAGTAGAGAAGATGTTGAGGACTACTGCTGGAGTTCACAAAGAGCGAGGTTGATTCCGATGCGCTTCTTTCTGTAAAAAGTCTACTGTCAGTGCACTCTCTGGCCTCTTCCAGGGCTTGCCATTATAAGCTTATTTCAAAGCTTTCAAGCGCGTCGGGATCAGATGCCTGGACCTAGCCTTCGCTCAGTGGAATTGACTATCGCGCAACAGGGTTGACCAGGGTCAACCGTCCGTTCGAACTGTTCGAACGAAGGGGTCGCATTTTGGTCGGAAGGGGGTCGCAATTTCGAGGACTGCCAGCCACAGGCGCGTGCGTGGCGTATCCGAGGGCAAGAATTGTTTGTGCAGACCGCATTAGATTCGATTAATTATGCACAGAGAGACAGTTTTGGGCAAATTACGGTGTTTTCCTTGAGGAATAGAGAACAGTTGAATGCATCTCCATGAAAAGGTTTGACTTCTTGTGGCTGAAATTGAACTTCTTCGGGAACCTACTTTTCTACGGACGGTTCTTCCACAAAATCGTGAAACACATAAGAAAGAAGAAACCTCGCGGTCTTCAAAAATGTCTTCGCCTCTTTCCAACATGCTCTTTGAAGGAAGTTATTATTGCTGAAAGCTCAAAAACTCGCATGTGCTGCTCAAAAACCTATGGGAATCCAAATGTTCGAACGTGTGATTTTCTCGAAAAATGAACTTTGAAAAATGGTTTAGGGCTTGTTAGAAAGAGCAAATTCTGCTCTTTCACCCCATGGAAAGAGGGAAACGCAGCAATCAAAATGAAGCGAGTTATGCTCGTTGAAAGCCCAAAAACTCGCGATTTCAAAGAATGTGTTCGGCAAAACCGCCCGAAATGTTCGAACGTGGGATTTTCTCGAAAAATGAACTTTGAAAAATGGTTTAGGGCTTATTAGAAAGAGCAAAACCTGCTCTTTCACCCCATGGAAAGAGGGAAACACAGCAATCAAAATGAAGTGAGTTATAGTCGCTGAAAGCTTAAAAACTCGGTTTTGCACGGGAACTGTTCGAACGGGGCAAATTTTTGAAAAAGGGGACAATCACTTAACTTTTTATAATCTTTTGTTAGAGAAATATTTGAAGTTTCTAAAACTTTTCACAAATTTCCAAGATGTCGCATACGAAAGATTTTATGAGCTCTCAAAGTTGGAGGTGCGCCTTCTCAGAATTTTGGGTTTTCCGCTTCTGACAGAAATACTTTTGGGAGAGTTAGGTCATCCTTGCAATTTTCTGTAAAGCCACCTCAGGCACAGTTTAAACCTACCTCAATAAGTGAAACAAATACGTCTCAAGAAAGTTACACTCTCCTAAAACTTTTTCTTCGCCGCGTCCCAGTTTTCCAGCGTCCGGGTGATACCTGCCGCGCTCCAAGGTTGACGCCGCAACGCAAACGCTTTCTGCGGCGGTTTCTGACGCAATCATGTCAGTCCTACTCTTCTTTAATCCTTCCTCTTTTTTCAGCTGTTTGAGCAGAAGTTCGTCAGTCTTCATGTTACTTGTTGGATATCCCTCCATTTGGTCTTACACATTTCGCTTTCATCCTCATTTTGGCGTGATTGTGAGCGAACAAAAATTTTGATCTCGCGAGGCTAACCATAAAAAATAGCTTTCATTAGCCAGTGCCCTGTGATTCTTGCTCCTTTGGGGCTCATCTTAGGAGATGCATTGATGGAGAACGTAACTCTCTTTGATTTACTCCCTTGAACTGCTCTTGTGATTCTTTCGGAAGCATGAAGTTTGAAGTTTTGGGCAACATGAAAAAAATATTGAATTTTTTTCAGAAATTCAATGATTTTTTGAAAACAATTCAATTCAAATTTCAGTGAAGATCTCAATATTCAAATGTTCTGTTCATATTTCATGGAAGTTCATTGTCCATTTGAAAACAATGAACTTACGAACTTACGAACACAACATTTGAATATTGAATTCTTTACTGAACATTTGAATTGAATTTTTTTCAAAAAATCATTGAATTTTTGAAAAAAATTCAATGATTTTTTGAAAAGAATTCAATTCAAATGCCAGTGAAGAATTCAATATTCAAATGTTTTGTTCTATGTCATGGAAGTTCATTGTCTTTAAAAGGTTTTAGTTCACTGTCTTTGAAGTAAAATGAGTGAAATAAATATTTCACTTAACATTTAGTCAGCACATTCGGCACTTCCATTACCTAAGAGGGGGTCGCAACTGGACCCCCTTGAGATAAGGGGGTGACCCCCTTGAGAAAAGGGGGTCGCAAAAACCCTGAAAATGTTCGAACGTGACGGTTGACCCTGGTTCGGACCGCCGTTCGACTATTGAAAAGTGCGCGGTAAGCTCGACAAGTTATCAATTGCGTCGTTCACGGCATTTGCGTCGTCTCGTGTACAACGTGCACTTTTGTGTTTTCTTTCTCCTTGCAGCGCTGTATATCTCCGTTATGCCGCGACCTCACAAGGGAAACAACGAATGACTGTTTTATGGTTTTTTTTACTTTTTCTCCCCAGTAAGGTTCCTAATCGATTTCTTGTCCAAGTTCCGGGCAAATATATCACACCAACTCGATTCTAACCCACTGGTTACGACCTTCTCTTTCTATTTGGAACATTAGTCAAATTTCTTCCGAGTTTCGAAAAGCAGTTGAAGGTTAATAAGATTTGGTTTGGTAAGCGACGCTTCAAAGGTGGAATTTACGATTAGAATTCAGCCCACTAGAAACAAGGTAAAGGTGGTTAGTGTGCCGGTATGAAAAAAAACTATGAGAAGGGCCGAGAACCCAAGAAATGGGACCCCTTCCTTGCCCGTTGGTTTCTGCATTGAATTTCAATCTCATATTTTCAATCTCATCGGTGTTGCCCACTTCAACGCTAACGCTCTTCAAGGTAAACGGCTAGGCTAGA